CCCCACTATTTGTTAGTGGATACTCTTAAGTGTCGCCTGAAGTGGGGATTATTATTTATCGTTCTGCGCGTTGAGGAATTAATCAGAATACGCGACGCGTGAGAGAGTCGTGACGTGTGAAATTGATATTTTTGTCAGCTTTACATCTGACACGAGAAATTTTGGTACGTTCAATTGCCCGTGATAGTTTTATAATTGGTTTCCTCCTAAAATTGATTCGAAAAAAAAATCAATAATAATGAAGATCAATATAATATAGTAGTACAAGTTAAAAATAAATTTCGGGATAATTGTATTATATAAAATTTAGAAATCACTCGGGTAAAAGTGTTGACTTTTTTATAGAGTAAAAAAAATCTGCAAAACATTTTATTTGCATCCAATATCAAATACTGTTCCATTTTTTAAAAGAATAATTTGTGCTTTATATTTTCAACATAACTATAACATCCTATGTATGTTAGTTACGTCTTCTGAGATAAAAGCAAAGATATTTTATGATCATATATATAACATATATATAACATATATATAACATTTTTTTACTGCTCTCAATCTATCGAGAAACATTGATTATTCTCGCTTCTAGATATTGGAAAGCGTAAAACGATATGAATCTCACGCGAAATGACTGCAACGAAGCATTGATCGTATTCTTACGATTTTTATTTGTAACCCTATAAGAGTTCGCCGTTTTAGAAGTCGGTATCGGGACGATCGATATAATTTCCGGTGGAAATACATCACGGGGATTTATGAACGCGCTCGCTGATTTACCATGTCTCGCGTTAATCGGGATATTCTCTGGCCGATCGCGGAAGAGATCGCGGATCCACGATTTATAGTAGACCTACATTGATTTTACAATGCGATACGTTCGCTTTCGCGAATCCTACATGATTTTCTCATTTAAATGCATACGATGTAATGGAAAAAATTAATCACTTATTCTAATTGTACGCAAGATGATTTACTGCCATTTATTAAAATATTATACTGTGATGGCATATTAAATATTAAATATTTTATATGCCAAAATGATTATCATTCAAACGCATACGCTACATTTATATTAATACTTTGTTCTTATTTTAGCTTTAGCTTTGATTTTAAATATTATATGTATATACTTTACGAATGCATAAAATGTATCTTGAAATATTGTATAGTTTTGTGAAAGAGTAGCCCGCTGTAAAGAAAAGACTGTTTTAAAAATAGATTGCCGCACAGTTGCCATTTCTATGTTTTATATCATTATTTCTGCCCTGAGTGCGTGTAAAGTTTACGTAATTTTGATACAACGTGTTCGATCAGCGTATCGGTGCTGATAATGTAAAACCAGAGAACGCGAGAGAGAAAGTGTCTCCTCCGCCTTAAGGCGCATTCACACGCGCTTCAAACACCGTGGCGAATGGCTCGGTTCGCTCGCGGGCGCGTAAACACACGCAGGTCGAACTTATATAATCGGTTACGGTAATACCGGAGTTATAGCAATCTCCGGGCACCGGCGGCACAGGCAGGCAGGTAACCCAATTCCGCGTTGACCGGACATACTGGTACTCGCACCGGCCGAGAGAAAAGCCAGGCGAAGGCGGCCAACGTTCGTTGCACTCGTGCGGATATTATCTCCATCGAGCTGAAACGCGATCGTTGCTACCGGACCTTCGATTCCGCATCCGTTTCGAGCTTACCGGAGACCATTTCCATGACACTTTGACCTCGGCTGATATTTCCAATACAAATTTCCGTCAATCGTAAACTGAAATTTAAACCTAAATTGAAAATATAGTGAAATATAATTTAATATTCATTTAATACGGAACACGGAATCCTCGAACGTTTTTTACATACGATAAATACCCACGTACGCAAACCGACGAGAAGTAAGTAAATAACGAAATGTAATTACACAATGTGTCGGACATAAGTCAGAACACTTGTAATAAAACCGTTTATTCAGGATATTTAATAATCCAAAGATGACAAATTAAGAAAATGAAGAACATTTTATATTCTATTTGCTTTGTATTAAGATGTGTTATTACATTACTTTGAAACTGTCATTTTATAGCTGATAAGCGGAAAAATATTGTAAGTTAAATAATATTTGATGTAGGATTATATAAAATAATATTACACTGTGACGCTTATTTTTAATAATTCTACGTAGAAACTCTCTGTAGAGTTTTGAAAAAGAGTATCCGAATTGATAATTTAGCATATTCTTTGCAGTCCTGTTATTATAAAAGTTATTACAGAGTGCTATAAGGATAGAATGCTATTACAGCGTTAAAATCATGAGGAGAAACAGCGCACTGTATTTTACGGACTACATAATTTGATCTACAAATTAAGTTCCTATTATTTAAGAGTGAGCGGAAGTTTGTGTAATAAACTGAGCTGTATATAGGAACTTTGGTTATAGAAATTTAGTTATGACATTGCAGTTTAGCACAATGCAAACAAATGAAAAAATCAATTCCATCAAGCGTCTCGTCCTTAGACAGTAATGCGCAAACTTACTCTTTATGACAATTGCTGTGCTATTAAATTCATATTAACTCATAAAAATATTAACATAAATTTTCCACTAAGTTGCTTGTTTTTCATTACGTAGTGTAAATTATGTAAGAAAGTTATTTAAAATTGAAATGCTCAAATAAAATTTCCGCTGGCACAGGTAGATCAAATATAGGAAGATTAATGATAATTATCTCGATAAATCAGAGGAGTGAGTAAGTCTTAAATCATTTTAAAAAATAAATGAATTAGGTAAAAAGGATTTAAATGCGAATTCGCGAGACCGCAAATTCGCTTAATCAATTCTGCGCGAATCTCGTTCCAATTAGGCAAGCGCGAAATTAATATTTCAAACAGCTCCCGGTGTCATTTAAACGCAGCACGTAATAATCCGCGATAACGATCGAACGTTGTGCAACATTGCGCCGATAAGTTAAGAAATAACGTTTCCGTGGTGGAAACGTCAGAAACATTATTTCACGGGGCATATCGCGCGCGGGAATCTGCTTTAATCCCAGTAATAATCGTGCGGCAAAAACGAGCACGGCGAACGAGAAACGGTGGAAAGTGAGCCTAATGAGGGCGATATGCAATTTATTGCAGCGGCATAGCGAAGCTGCACGTCGCAGCGCCGGACGCGCCGTCGTTGAAAAAGGACGAAATGAAGAAGCACGGAAAGATAGATAGAGGAAGTTAAGGATCAATAGAGATGTGTGGGGATACTTATTTCATTCCGGAAATTAAAATTCCAGTAGAAACAATAAATGCAAATTACAAGAAAAAAGATGCGAAAAATAAAGATAAATTATTAATGCAATATTTCCCGGAAATTAAAATTCCTCTTTAAAAGTTATAAACATATAAATTAACAAAGAGGATACAAAAATTAAAGATTAATCATGTTAAAAAAATTATGCAGAGATAAACAATAATAAAATAATGTCATGATCAAAATTCATTGATTTGTGTAATTAGATAAAATTCTGATTCAAAAAATTACGATATTAAACGTTTTTTAAAAATATTTTGACTAAATTTTGCCTAACTTTTACAGGTAATTTAAAAATAAATGACTATTTGAGAAAGAAAAAAAGAAAAATAGAAAACGAGAGATTAAGAGAAAAACGAAAGAGCGACGTCGTAAGTAATCGGAGGAAACGCGTGGTATATTATCACTGTGTAGTAATCGCGGGTTTATTATGGCTGTTGAGCCAACAAGAACGTCGACTGCGAGCGCGTCGATTAGGCTGACTACGAATTGCTCTGGACAGCGGCACCGGCACATCCCGAGACGGCTAATTTGTGTAATCAGAAAGCGATCATACTGAAAAAAGAGAGAAAGGAAATATACACGCACATAAGTGCTTCGCGTTTGATTAACAATAATACTATACGCGGTCGTTAAAACGTTTACTTTATTTCGACGAGCACTTTCGAGAGGTGCTTTTCATCATCGACTAAAATTAATTCGTGCCACCGATATTGTATTTACTTGTTAGTAGAATTAATCAATTATTGGATCATTTTTTAATCTCTTAGCCAATCCTTGTCAGCGCAATATAATTCTAAATGTTTTACTTGTTTCTGAGTTTTACTATATTGATGCCGTGTTTATACGTCTCCCGAAAATATTATTTTTTAAATGTGTTTTAAAGGTAAAAATAATTATATGCTAAAGTACACACGACCAGCATTACTCATTTTTACAGCAATTTTACGGCTTATTTAATGTTTTGAGAAATTTTTTTAAACTTAACGAGAAAACTTTGTAACATGTATGTGAATTAATGTAAATATTTTTTTTTTTTTTTACACTAATGCATTTCACTTGGACGCGTTTACGGTTCAAAGTGAATTTAGTAACTTATTTCAACTGCAATTTTTAGCGATAATAATGTCTGCGTAACTGGAATATTTTCCAAGAATTAGTCGTGAAAGAGCAAATAGCAAAAATAACTGAGGAGACGTCATCGTCGTCGTCTACTAAGCAATATTTAGAGTCCTCCGTAGGGAGAAGCGATCGCAGATCTATTTACGCGTTTCTGCGCGTCTCGGAATTTTGGACGGCGAAATTAAGCGGCGGTATCGCCGTGCAAATTAAATTCCTACGCGAGCCGACCGGCCGGTCTTCTCCCGTGGCCGAATATAATTCGCTGTGCTTATCGATCGATCGTCGGCCGGTCCGTCGTCGATTCCGGTTGGAATTCCCCGTGCCTTCAGGAAGAAGGCTGTGATTAGGACGTTTCGTGATACACTGCAACTATCGAGTTAATATTTGATGCCCGTTGCGCTAGTTTATACGCGCAGCAGCATCGTTTTGCTTAAGCACAATATCATTAATTCATGAGATATCGAGAGTTATAGTTTAAACAATGAAAAATGTTGCTAACATTTGCAGAAAATGTTAGCACTTTTTATCCTGCTTTTATTTCTTCATAAAATGATTACATATTAATGTCAACGTTTTTGTTCTGACCTAGGTCTGGGATCATTCTGTATAATCAGTCTGCGGTAGGGAGTTGTCTTTGTCATCGACCAAAGTTCATGTCTTCCTTCCACTTCTTCCTTCCTGGCGCCACGCAGCACAACTTCATCGTAACGGTGAGTAATTCCTCGAATCTGTCTGTCTCAGTTTTCCGTTCGTTCCTCGCAATCGGCTTTTAGCGTCAGCCGCACAATTCCGCAGAAATTTCGCACGTAATATTCGCATAATGTTCGAACGGGTCGCTTGGCGACTCGTCGACGTATTCGACTACGGAATTAATAAATCTTCACGCGCGCACGTTATTATTTCATTCGACACGCCATTCACATTATTAAGCATAGAATATTGGAATGCTAACGTTGCCGTATCGTTAAGTATTCGGCGTATAACGGTTTAGTGTAATCTCTCTGTATTTCCGTTATTATTCTTCGTCTTTTGAAGATCTCAGACGAAGCGAGAGATATCGGTATCTCGAAGGTGCGATTATAGATTCGAGTGAATACGACTCTTTTGCGTAATACTTGTGTTATATATGCAGGCTCTATACGTGTAATCAATGCGAAGTATCTCGCAGATATTTTGACAATTTTCGCATGAATATTTCTCAACAGATTTACGATATTAAGTTTACATTAACATCGTAATTAAGCAACATACCTATTAGATAGACTCCAGTTAAACGCCAAACAAGATTATGGTATCTGTTCGTATGATTAAAGCTTAATTTGTTAAGTGCTTTAATAATTATTACTAATAATTATTATTGAAATATTTCTGTGACGTAGTGCAATATATTATTATACAATTCAATTCGGGTAGTTAAATAATTGAAAATTGTTTTATATATTTTGGTCGGTATTATTATCGGTTTCAAGCTTAATTTATACATCTAACAGCTTGATTTTATCAAACACTCCCTTATTCTGAAATTTCTTGATTCTTCTCACAACAGGGATGCTTATACGTTCACTAAAAGAAATGTTCTATAGAACGAAAACATTTCTTGGTTCCATATATAAACGAGCCGTGACGATTCGATTTTAAAATGCTTGTCACGTAAGATGAGAACCAGATGAAGTTAGGCAACAAGTGAAAGATAAAACTACAGGGAGAGTAGAGAGGGAAACAGAAAGTAGACAGGCCAATTTTTCCCTTACTTGGACCCTTGGCCAAGTTTCTATCTCATCCCTTCCTTTTGTTATAGTTACTGAGTTCTAAGACGAACTAGAACGAGCCTTCAAAGAATGGGGTGTCTTTCGATCGGAAAAGGACAAACAAATGACATGGGTTAGATTTCCTTATTTTTTCTAGTTATTCGCTAACTGGTTGGCGTAAGAAAGAGACAGAGAGCCTCACATTCGATATGTGTCCTCTTTCAAATTGTGAACCTAGTGTTCCTTATTTTAAATAACGGTAGACTCCGATAAAGTGGTCATAAATATTCGACGATTGTTCTCTCTATGAAGGCCAATTTTCCTCTTATACTTATTTTTTCTTCCACATTGTTGTATTTGAATAATATACAACGGATATCCTTTCGAACGCCCACGTCGATCGTAATTATTACAAGAATAATGGCATAACTAGATAAGTACTTCGAACTTTTTATCATTTCGTTGTCAGAGGAAATTATTTTTTTAAACGAACAACATTAGTTTCAGGAGTTTGCATAGAATTTATTTTAGAGAAAAATTTCTTTCGAATATAATACCAGAGTGTGTATGTATTTAAAAAATTACTTGTTAGGCAGTTCGGAGAAAATCCGTGATTAATCTCGAAGTAAAAATGAAAAGATCTTCTAGTAGTATTCCACTCGCGCGATGAAGAAGTGGACACATGTCGGTGGACTATAAAATTTCCATACAGAACCAATAATGCAATGTTGTCGAACAACGCAATTTGTCTATATTTTCGACGGAACCACTTTCCAGACCGCCTATGCGCGCGCGCACGCGATGCAAATTCAAACGTCAGAGATATTAATTGTGCATTTCGACCGATGCTCATCGTGCTCATTTGGATTTTTCCTGTTTATTTAATCGGCGAATCGGACATGCCGAAGAATGTCGCCAGACGTATACAAAAAAAAAACAACAATTTATTTCATTGTATTAAGTAAAAACAAACGGGAGCTAGTTTATAAATTTAATATAAAAAAAATTTAGCCTTTTCAAAAAGAAAGAAAAAAACGCGACACGTGCAAGACATTAAAGCTGTATTTACATTCTTATTTGTTTATGATTTAAGTATTGAAATTCATTAAATGCGAAATAAAGCATGACATAAAATAAATTCTAAAATAATGTTTCTTTAACATTATAAAGTGATTATAAATACGGAATATAATCTTCATTCTTTGTACTTAAATAAAAGCTGTACAATTTATAATAATTCGAACTTCATAGGTCTTTTTCTAGTATCCATGATCTATTGAATTTTAAAAATAAAAAAAAAAATTGCATGAAACACTGACCTCTTCTCTCTCTCTCGAGTTGATTTTATTTAAACAAATTTTCTTTCTATACTTACATTGTAAAAAAAGACTTTGAGTTAAAAATGACCAATAGGACTAATTTAAAAAACCAATCATTAGACTCAATCCAGGTTCAGGCAAGCGAACTTTAAGATACCTAGATTTGAATCTAATGCTAGTGCAAGCGGCGCGTTGTGTTCGTCTATTCCGCTTTTCGATTTATCCAGCGCTTTTGGCTCTCGATCCGGGATAACCGGGACGGGCGCATGGATCCCGCCGATTGTGTGTCGAAGAGCGATGACGAAGCCTTTACTGGAATCCGGTCTCTTCCTCTCCCCCGTCGCCTCCCAATGTTGCATCGCGATCGAAGGAAGAGGAGCCTCTTCTCGGGAGCGATTACGCCACCGCGCACTCCTCTCGCCACTCGGCCGCGCGATCTGCGCTACACCACACACCACAGAAGTGCCTCGGAAGCCGAGGAGGATGCACAAAGTAAAAAGGACGGTGAGTGGAGAACGCCGACGATGACGACGGCAACGAGAGGCGGGTGGCGAAGGGAGAGCGCGGGGGAAAGGGTGTTCCAGCCGTCGTCCCGGATGTGCAGCATCATTACACGGCATTCTTCGACGATACAAGCGTCCGGGATCTCTCTTTCTCTCTTGTGCCCTCTCACTCTCGCGACTCACGCAGACGTGAAAACGCGCGTAAGCAGGCTGCCCACGCGGAAAGGGTGAAGCGATGGGGAGGAATATCGGGGACGGCGAAAGGAGATATGAGATCAGATACGCGAAACGGGGGTACGATAACCCAATTGGAATTGAGTATTGAAAAGTTAAAGAGAAAATGCGTAGGTTTGAAAGAGAAAAAGTCTAAAAGTGAAGGCTTATCATATTACAAAATTCTTTTGACATTAGCCTTTGAAAATACATGAATTGACAGCTTTCATCTAAATGTAAGGAAGGAAGGTCATATTGTTACCTAATCACATATAAAATAAATGATATCTATATATTTTGTCATTTTTTACTTAACATTTTTGATGACTTTTAATATTGAGATAATAAATAAATAGTAAATGAATCTCTTACATTACGCAAGAGTGTAATTTTTTGCACGATTTATAAATAAAACTTAAATCAAAGTTCACCGGTTAAAATGCTCGGTTATTATCTTACGACGTAAATGCATGCACTGAATATCTCGGGCAAGTGAGTCGTATTATCGAGAGACGAATTACCGATTAAGGAGAAGACCGCGTTCCAGGAAACTATCGCTTCCTCGATTACTATGCGAAAGACGGCATTAGTGTCACGTAGCGTTCGCTCGTTTTCCGGGATATGGGGAGATCCCTCGATCATTTATGCAAATTAACGTTCCCCCGTTCTGGACGAGATCGCGGTTGAACACCGAGCAACGATTTGCCGAAGCGTAAATGAGCCGTCTATATCTTGCAGACAGCTCATTACATCCTCGAAATCTTATTTAAATAAAGTACGCCTGGTATCAACTTTTTCTCGCATCGTACTTTAATCTCACTTTGGCTTACGCACCGCATAAAGAAAAAAATCTTTTAAATATTTATATGCTTCGTTAAATCTCGCATTAAATACATTAAATTATCCTTTTCTGTAATTTTTACGAAGAAACTATGTTTAATCTTTTATAATTTTTCGACAATAAAATTTCACATTTTTGTTTACATGCAATATTAATAAATCTTATTGTAACTTATTTTAAATAACGAAGTAATTTTTAATCTTTGTTAATTGACAAATTAGTACATAAAAAGGTAAACTAACTCTTTTAATGAATTTGAAATAAGTATACGTATCTTCTTCAATTTTAACAAATAATTTATATTGCTCGAATAACACAATTTACATTCTCATTTATTATATAAACGCAAGGTGCACAACGTTAGATGACAACTGCTAAAATCGTGACGTTCATCCATAGATGTCAAAGGGTTGACTCATCAATTGGTCGTGTACTAGTGTCATTCCCCGATCAATCGAAGTTCTCGAGGCCCTTAGGGATTTTTCTTCTAGGTCCGATTGCCGGACAACCTCATGCTCGTACGGAAATTGGATGCATTTCGATCTTTCGAACGAGTCGTCCTCGCGTCCCACAGGGCTGGAGGGAGAAGGTAAGTGGCCTAAGAGAGGTAGCGGTGTGTGTCGCTTCCACGGGCGTGCAACTCGCGCGTGTACGCAAACGCGTGCATACGCAACACGCACACACCCACGCCCCGGAGAACGGCGATCGTCGTGGTACACTCGGCTCGGAACCAGTGGCTCGTACGAGCACTTACGAAGGAGGTGGAGAGAGAGAGAATCGGATAGGAAGACGAGAACGAGCGGAACTGAGGTCCGCGGAGCTTCCTTTCCTTCGGACATGCCTGGCTGCCTCCTCGTCCTCTCCCACAGATTACGACCGACTTCTCCTCTCCCTCTGTGTGTGCTCTCCCGCACCTCGTTCCTTCTTAAACGCGCACTCTCTCTTTTCTTTTTTTAGCGCACTTGGTCTTATATTCATTTATTTCTATTTTTAGCTAATTATTTTGCGGTTACGCATAAAATTTGTAAAAATTGTTTTGGAGAAAATGATATTAAAGAGAACAGAACTGTCTTTCCATCATAATTTATATACATATATTAAATTTTTTTACAAATTGCACATTTTTTATTCTTCTACTCGCAATTTTTTTTTTCTTAAATCAATTTTTATAAAATTAGTTTATAGAGATTGCGACATTTTTTACTTAAAAAATGTTAATATATTAATATTTGATTCTATTTCCTATTTTTCCTAGGTTCCTAGTTTCCTAGTTTCCTATTTTTCCTAGTTTTTAAAATTTTAAAATTTGAAGAAATTATTTTTTACACTGAATTTATTTCTGTAAAGGAACCAAGTTTCAAGTTTTAATAAACAATTCAGTTTTTTGTAAATCTATTTTCCTGAACAGTAATACAAATCTTTTGGGTAAAAAAATTCTTAATTATTATATATTTATATATTTTATATGTACACTCATTTACATATTTATTTTAAATAACAAAATCAGTTCTCTCTCTCTCTCTCTCTCTCTCTCTCCTCCTCTCATTTTTTTCTATACACTTGCTTATCGATGTATGAGCAAGACAAAGCACGGTCGCTAATACCGAACGCGTAACGACAACGGTGATCGCGAGACCATTAGGAACGTCCCGGCCTCGAAAGGAGGAACTACGTTGGACGCACCTACTTCCGGGACGCGCTATGCCTCGTCGCGCCTTCACCTGCGAGGAACTCGTTCCGCGGGCCAGGCCGTGAAGAATCCTTGAACACTTAGTAACTGTCGTACATAGGAATCTTCTCTTAACCGCATTTAAAAAAATCTGAGCGACACATCTCATTTTTTTCATTTCGAGAAATAAAAATAGTTTTGTAAAAATTACGCAAAATTTAATCTTATTTATTAAATTAAATTTTTCGAATATATTAGAATTTGTGAGAAAAAAAGAATGCATAAGAATGCTTATTCAAATCGCGTATTTGATCGCAAGCTATGTTTTTTAATTTTCTGAAAGCGGTGTGCACATAAACTAAATTTGAATTAAAATACGAGAAAAAGTTGATGTCTTACGTATCACTCAAGCAAAACAACGATTTTTTTATTTACATATCTGGCAAATCCACGGTGAAAGCTTCATGATTGGAAACTGAGGATTGCGGGTTAAGAGCTTAAAGCTGAGAGTTAGAAGTTGGGAAAATGGAAGTTTGTACAAACATTCGGTATATGTTAAGCTACTTAATGCGTACAACAATAAGCCACTTCGTACTCAATGTTACACGTCCACATCGGACATGACAGGAGCGAACGCGTATATCCTTTTCATCGTCGCGGCCGATCGAATTGACCGTGGAGGTATGGGCGAGGCGCGACGAAAGTAACGGAGTGATCGTGAGTAGGAACGGATCGTGCGTGCCATACGGTAATACGCGGTGGGTACGCAACAATGGACTACCGCATGGCGAGCACTCGAAAGCCTCGCTGATGCAATCCGCGGCAAGTTGTGACACGCACACACAACGCATTGTGTCCGCGGCACACATAAATCGCGTACTTATCGCCCTGCCCTCCCGTAAGCAGCCTTGAGACACCGCATGTAATGCGTATTGGGTTCAGAGATCACAATTCGTATCTACACGACAGTCGTTCACGTTCCCGTTGCCGTCCGCTTGACTTCGCTCCTTAAGTCGATGTCAGACGACACGACAGTTCTAACTCGTATCCTTGTCAACATGTCCTGTCACGTGGAGACCTTTTGAAGAACCCTGTCTGGAAATTCTTTAACTTGAAACTCGAAGGGCAACACAAATGAACTCTCGTCGATCAATGAAACCATTGTTCAAACATGGGTTCAAAGTTTTCGAAAAAGCAACTTTTCGGAATGGATGTGGATCCCTCCCGCCACGCCCTGGGGGCGGGGCGGCAGAATAAGGGAAAATGTTAAATGGCACTATGGGTCGAGTGGGGATCATTTGAAAGGGCGTTTCAAGACAAAAACAATGATTTTTGAAAATGTTTACTACGACTTTCCAGTCAAAAGTGGTGGTGGATCAAAAAAGGGGGGTGGACTTCCGAAAAGCTATCACCTCCGGTTTGGCTTATATTCAACCTAAATACTTATTTTATCTAGTAAATAATATTCCCAAATGGATTTTTGGCGCAAATGCTCCCTCCGCCCGCCAGCCCCTCTCAATGATTCAAAAATAAAACTGTTTTTGTTAATTATTTCAGAAAGTATTCATTGTACGGAAAAAGTTGTCAAACAAAAAATGAAACTCATAAAAAGCTCTACAAAGGTCTACATAAGGTCTTATACATATTTTATCTAACTCCAATATTTTAGTCGTTTTAACAATTAACAGTCGCCATATTGGATCTGCCATTTTGAATTTTGCAATTTTGACAACAGATTCGAATTCAGCAGCCCAAAAAACCTTAGGGTATCAAGTTTTGTGCAAATCTGTTGAAAATTAGTGAAGTTGTTTAGAAATATACATATATGATACATTACCACGTTTGGCACTTTTTTTTTGTACATATGTATATGATACATTACCACTCAACTGGTTAAAGTGTCAGAACTCGAAAACTTTCGAAAACTCGAAGCTTTTTTTTTTAATTTTCTTTCATTCATGGATATTTTAGCTCAGATATTTTATACTTTGTACCTTAAAAAACAGCCTGACTGAAATCTGAAAAAACAGTCTAACGGTCATCTGTGCAGACGGTAGGATATTTTTGAAAAAAAATAAAATGAGGAGCATAAGTTAGCCATTGGAAACCGAAGATACCATATTTGCACCAGATGTGTGCTACATTTTTACTATTTCCGATTTCCTAGCAAATTCAATTCGTCAGAAAACAACTATTTCGAAAACTAGTTAGAAATATTTCGTGTGATTTGAGCTTTACAGCCGCGCGTTATTCCACAGTAGCGAACCACTCGGTTGAGGAGTCGATATTGCCTTGATACCGCGCTCACAGTGCACGATTTATTAATCCACCACGTGGTGCACACGCCCGAAAGACAATGGCTTGTATTCTCAGCGCGCATTTACCGCTAAATGCGTCTGCCGACTCTCATTTCGTGTTTAACTCGCGTGTCACGCTCATATTAGACAAATTGAGCTCAAGATCGGACCGTCACATTTACCGCTAATTACATGGTGAGAACATCATCGGCACGTATTCTTTATTTAGAGCCATATTTAGCGCCGCATTTAACGCTAAACGCAGTCTTCCGATTCTAAGCTTTATGTGTTTAATATGAAGATTACGTTAACGTCAATACGAGGCGAGAATCAGATATTTGTGTATTTAACACTAAAGCGGAATATTACTGGGTTATTATGTTTATTGTGCTAATAGAAATGTAAATGCAATATTCTTAAATATTAGTTTGTAGACAATCTCTTAGTAAATTTCAACTTGAAGTGTAATTATATATGATCGAACAATTATATCGAAATAATTGATTTATACTTAATTACAAAATATAGTTTGGTACAGCCACAAGTTAAGATCTTAAAGAATAGTTTTAAAAATAATACACGAGATATACTATTATATATATTAGAAATTATCAGTGCACAAGTAAACAAACATTTGTTTTAATGTTTCGAAAGATTTAGCAATGAAAAAATTTATTGCAAAATAGATTCCGAGAAAGCAAGATTGTTTCAATCACGTGTGTGATTGAATCTTACGAAGGCGAATAAGATGCAAAATGATTAATGTTCTCATTTGACGTTCTGCCATATTTGCAATGCAAATTAAATATTCCGTATAGGATATCCCGGAACTAAACGGTTGACTCGGTCACAAAAACTAGAGGTCAAGGCAAGAAAAATAGCAGTTGTTTCGAATGGATAATAGTTATACGGAACTATTTAATATACAAGTAAACATATCTTTTAACTTAAGTTAAACTGAGTTGTAAGAATAAAAATAGGATAACAAGATTTTTTTCCAGTTCCTTCTATTTCGATTCTATTTTGTGACAAAAAATTAATTTTGTTTAAATATTGATTGCCAGAATCAATAGAAAATGTCTAAAAAAAAAAACTTTATTTTACTGCATTTTAGCTAAAAAATCTATTCTAAATTTCCCAAAATTGAAAAGCTATATATACGACACTCTCGATATCACATACAACATATTTTACAAAAAAAAAGATTAATATCGGTCGTAATTCATCGTATGCATCCATGTAATGTCCAACCATTGGTGTGTTGTGCGCAAGTATACCTACTTTCTCCCACAACTCGGTTCTATACATAAGCTACTCGTTCAATATGTGACAATTAAGCTTTTTCGTCGTGTTACGTAGCACGCCCTCCGGTAAGAATCTGTTTATGGCGACAGAGACGGTGACGTAAAATCATCAACGAGCGGCCGCGCAAAAAAGAAAACTTTGGACAACTACGTCACTATCGCAAATGTCCCAGTCTTCATCGAGTTCCTGTACTCCGCGCGCTTAAATAACAGCAGGAAGCCGTTTCGGTTGCATAATATAGACGTTGCACAATCGATACCTTCACCTTATGCGCGTTTTATGTCGTCGTGCTGAGAGAAAATCCTGGTCGAAATGAGGGTGCACGATAGAATTTCACATGCATTCAAAATTTGATCCTGTACTGATCTGATGCAAAATTTTATTCAACGTTAGTTTGGTGGGATCTGATAGAACCTGACACAATTTTCTAAAACAGCTTCTGTCGTACATTGATCGTATCATAACTTCAATATAATATAAAAATATAACAATATTGAAATGCGTATACATATCACGTAGTGGACTCGCTAATATTTATTTTTTCTATAGTTTCTTCGTGGAAACTGATCGAAATCTTGAAAGTGTCGCTCGAATCTTCTTGTTTACGTCACGTGGAATTTTGCGCGTTTGCTTTCCTGGAAACGACGTTCGCGCCGAGAAATAAATACTCGGTGTGTTCCCCCTCTCTTTCGTTTATTATCGTAATCTCCTCACAGTCGCATCGCATTAGCGCGGGCCTACGGGCGAATTATACCCGCTGAAATATTTCTCGCGGATTTTTATCAATCGAAAATGTATTTCGTGTACAAAAGTGTCGAAAATATTAGATTGAATCACGGGTGATCGTTTTATATCGTATATCTATTAATCAGCGCGACTGCAATTACATTCATAAACGCGACCTAACCTGCCCGAACATTACACAAGGCACATTTCTAATGTAAAATGTAAGTAAACTAGTTGATTAGTGAATTAATAAATTAGTGAAGCTTATATATATATATATAGTTTTATGAATGAATTAATGAATTATTGTTGCTTATACATGTAGCTTATAAATTTTACGTTCAGATTATTTAGAAATTTCGTGAAACGTTTTTAGAGCGAAAAATTCGACGTTGTTTGTTCTCTCTCTTCAATTTTTTGTAATGTCTTTCAATCCCCTTTACCCTCTCTTCCAATTTCTTATGTCTTACACATCGCATTAGCACGAACTCGCATTTGAATTGTGCTTCAAGTGTTTCTCACGTATTTTTATTCGTCGAAATTATATTTCGTGTGCAAATGAGTGTTGAAAATGTTGAATTTAACGACGGGCGATTGTTTCGGTATATCTGTAAAATTAAAATCGCAATTAACGCGTCTTTTTTTTTATGTTTTTTATGTTGTTGTAAGCGATATTGAAATAACCCGTCTGAATCTGAACATTACATATATATGGCATTATATACAACACATTTTAAAAGTTCCAATTTTGCAAAACGTAAATAAATTAGTGAATTTATTATTAAATTATGAATTTTACAAAACGTCAATAACTTGATAAATTATCATTATTTATTAAGTATGCAAAAGGATAATTCAAAATTTTTTGCCGAAATAAACTTTTATTTTTAATAAATTAATACACTTTTAATTAAAATATTGATGATTTCAATATTGTTATCGATGACCTTGCATCATTTATCAGGCAGCTTATAAATACCGTACTTGTACAGGCTTTTGGTAGCTGGGGCGCGATAAAGTTATCAATTTCGTATCTCGTCCAACGTTCGGAAGTGTATATCCTGTAAGGCGTTCTGCATCAGCTGAAACAAGTGGTAGTCGACAAGGGCAATATCTAGAATATACACCGTGTGGGAATTTCCCAGCTTAGCGATAGTAGAATGTTTTTAACTGATTGAGTGATATGTTATTGTGGAATAATTTTATCTGCCTTTTCCTTTACCGTGATATAGATATTTTTCATTTTCCGCATCCTTTAAACGGAATAGTGTTTCACTTTTCCGAGACGAGACGAGATTTGGGTTGATATCGATCTTGTCTCGGAAAAGTCTCGATGATCAAGTCTCAGTCTCGTCTCAATTGATCTCATCTCGATCTCGTCTCGATAAATATAAAAATCAATATAAAAATCGAGAGTTTCGATGTCTCGATCTCGGTTTCGTCAAAATTTAATCTCAGTTTCAGTCTTGCCTCGCCTTGTCTCGTGAGACGAGACGAGAATCTCGATTTTTGAAAGTCTCGATGAAACACTAAAACGGAATAATTCGACTTCGTAGTGATTAGCTAATACTTTGCTGGAACAGCTTATAAAAATAATATATATAGCGATTCCTTCCATATAACGATCGTCTCATATAGCGATCAATTCTTTGTACTTAGATTATCTATTTTAGTGCGTTGAACTAGATTTGCCGGGACGCACCTAGCGAGAAGTTAACGCAACTTATTCTCCTTCCATCCTTTTTGTAAACGCCCTAGGTTATCTTTTGTCGCTGGAATTCGGCGACAAAAAAAATTGTCCCACGTATTGGTTGGTTATTGGATAGTGAATTTTTAAAGTTTCTATCAAAATTTTAAAAACTATCTAACAACCAATTGATACGTTGGACAAACTTTTTGCCATGAATGTAATTTCAACCTTATACTTTACATTAATGCCGATTCGCAGTCGAATTATGTCCGTCGAATGTTTCTAACGTAATTTTATCCATCGAAAATGTATTTCGCACAACGAGTATCGAGAATGCCGAATTGAATGACGGGCAATTGTTTCAGTACATTTATTAATTCACGCGATCGTGATTAACATATTTTTTCGATATTCGTAATATTGCGTCATAAATACATAATTTATTTACTACTCTGCTGTAAATTTCGAAAGTTTTATTTCGCAGATACGAATTAATTAGTGAACTGGTGAGTCAATGAAGTTTTTGTTTTGCGTGTGAATTGGCGAATTAATAAAACGGTATATTTTTAGGTCTGTTGTTTTTACCTGAACTGGCTGTATTAGTTCAGAGTTGATCTTTCTTCTTCCAATGTGGAAGCTAGTACAGCGAGTTCAGTTAAAAAGAATAGACCTTTCCTGTAATTCGCGAGTTTATAATAATCAAGAATGTCATGTTTTCAAGATGACTGCCTAAAGCGAAGGAGCAAGGTTGATCAAAAACCGAAAGGAATAAGAGATATGGGTAAATCTTCGGAAAATCCTCCTATATGAAATAAAGGGTAAGAATACCCAATTTCTATGTATTTTTGCCTCCTGGACACAATCGACGCATGGTAATAAAAATTGGCGGTCGGACATATTTTGGGCGTCATCTTGAAAAAACATGTGGAAAAAAACGATTTTTCTCGCTTCGCATTCCTTCCTTCCTACCTATTTACCTACCTAAACTAAGGGTTACAAACCGCCTCCACACATACACTTTCCATGCGAAGCAAGGTTCCACACGGGTTTACAACTTTATTTTATTTTATATAAAACGCTCTAACATGTATACGGTTGGAGTTACGTGAATGAAGGTTATGACCTTTTTTGTAGAAAATTTAATTTCCTACGTTTTTTGTTTAAAAACTTTTTTCGTAAAGTGAATAGTTTCAGAGATAATCGTAAAAAACCGTTTTTTCCACATATTTTTTCAAGATGGCGCCCAAAATATGTCCGCCCGTCAATTTTTATTATCATATTCATGTTCAGGAGGCAAAAATATATAGAATATATAGAATATATGAAATATATAGAATATATAGAAATTGGGTATTCTTACCCTTTATTTCATATAGGAGGGTTTTCCGAAAATTTACCGAGATATGCACCGGCGACGCATCGACTGGTGAGTGATTTTCATTTTGAGTTTACTGGTGATGGGTTTTTATCGCACTTGTATGATTAGTGCATATTTATTCATTAAGACACTTATAAATTATTGTAATCTATTTATTTTTTGATCAACGATTTACAAGAATAAAGAAAATAAGGATATAATATTGGGGTGTAGAGTACACATACAGCGTGAGTTTTAAGCGTTAAAAAAAATAAATAACCGCGTGAATAACGGCGGGTTAAGCTGCACGGACTAATCGCGATACTAGGTGACCAACGAAGTGACTGGAATGAAATATCCGTATTCTGCTTAAAATTCTATCCGTTCTCGCCCGCTATACTCGGGTAAACTAACAAACGTTACGCTAGCGGCTGCCCTGAATTTCTGATATGAATTTCTGCTAGTGATCGCGCACACGATTCGATTTATTGCCACTTTCGTCAAATCAGAACAATCAGAACAATATCAGGTGATTTAACCAAGAATTTTGTTGCGTAAATTTTTTGAATAGATCTGCAATCGATTTCTTTTTCGATGAAACAAATATTTTTGTGCTATTATTTACAACGCGAGAAAGAAACGACGTAGTGACAAAAATTGCAAAACGAATTAAATAAAATACGTACGTGTTGCAATAAATACGTCCACAAATTCTTTTATGAAGGAAGGGGTGACTTTACTTGAAATATAAGCAATCTCTTTTCGCGCTTACGACTCGACACCGAGTGTCACACCCGAGCGAGCATTATTAATGGTGTTTTCTCTCTCTTGCACTGACGTCTCGAAGGTAGCGCAAGCACGTGGGCAGTTAGGCGTGTATCGATATATTTCCAAGATAGCGTGCCTGCTGGAAAAGCCAAACGCGATGAAGTAACCAGAGCGGGAAACTAGGGCCGGCAACACGCGTGCGATAAGCGACACAATGGACTTGTTCCTTTTATCGGAATAAGACTGGATCTCGATTTGACAAGTGATTGATTACGCGTATTGAAAATTAATTATTTATGCTTTAAAAATGCATTTTTATTCCACTTAAACAGATCTATCACGTGTTTGTTTTTTTTACAGCAATTTAATATAAAATAGAATTGTACAAACGAGCGTAATAAAATACACTCTTGCAGTATATTGCAAAATTTATGAAAATATTCTACACAATCTGTACGCATATAAAGTATTTATATAGCAAAGTTATTTCAATTGTCGTTGAAATATTAACACGCGACCATTAAGGAATGAGAAATTGCGTTAACTGTTCGGCCTAAAATACACTTTCAAAAGACCACTTTGGAAAATCGCCTAGGTGAACGAAAAAAAAACTCGAGCGTACAAAAAATGAGAACGAACAAGAAAAGGGAGAGAAAAAAAAGGGAAGCGATCGCGCGGGTCAACAGCACACGTCGGGCGATATAAATCAACTTCTCGATTGCGCAACGTTGATTTATCGTCAGCGCTGGACGCGCTCGTTAGACGTCTCTCTCGATCACGTGCGTTTGTGCAGCGCGCGAGTCGCGTGCACACGTATTCAGTCGCGTAAATATCGGTTAGTATACGCGATGCATACCGGTGTCTAGGCAATCCGCGTGTGGACAGCTAATCGCCGCCATAACATCGCCGCGAATAAAAGAAGATTATTGACGCGCGCCAATCAGCGTCGCTTACTTTGCGTTTGTTCCGGCTCGCCGATTCCGAGTAGTTCACTTGTACTGTTACAACAATTGTACAATGAGAAAGTCGTGGGAAATTATCTACTAAAACTGAATTTCTTTTTTTACTTATGCCAAAAACATTAATCATTTCTATAAAATATGTATCGCATCGGAAACAGGATAAATTTGATATATGAATGAAAGTTCTCCCAGAAAATATACTTATCCGAATTACTTTTCTTGTTTCTAGATATGTGAATAATATTTTTTTTATATATTTCGGACATTAATTTAATATTAGAAATTGCTCTGATAAAACATTTGTAATTCCCCAGACAGAATACGCGTATAATTATAAGAATGATAAGCGAAACGAAAATGCGAAAAATAAAATTTATTCAACAATTATTACTTTATAAATATATTATCAAGAATGATACAAAGCATTGTATGCCTCTCGACGTACGCATTAAATGTATTCGTTACGAAGAAGTTACAAATAGCTCTGCTGGTTTATGTCTAGCATCGTGTCTAGAATTCACGAAATGGTTTCTATTTCGACTTGGCTATTTGTCAGGTGAAGCGGCTGTTTGATTTCACTCATAAAATTCGCAGCAATATCTCGTTATATTCCGTATACATGTTTAATTAATCGCGTCGCGAAATAATCATAACGAAGCGATATCTCTGACTTTTAGCGAGTTGCAAAAATAGTCGATATACCGTGTTACATGTCGGACGTTTTTCATGCGCGAGGTTGTTTCTATTCTCGTTCCGGCATCCATCGTTCTCCAAGCGCTCACGGAAGTTCGCCGCCGGCATTTCCTTTCTATCTTCGTACTGTTTCGGAAGCTGTCCGGTATTATGTATCCGATACTTGCTAACTGAAACTCTCTTTGTAAATCCATTGCAGATTGTGTCGACGCACCAGAACATTGTTGATGGTTTTCGTCGTGTCTATCGAAACATCGAAATACACGTAAAATGCTATGTGTATTGTTTATCTTTTATGAAGATGTGAATATTTTCTCTCAAAGAAATAATATGCTTTTTGAAAGAAGACTAACTGACATTTTATCGCGTATTATTATTTATATATTTCTACAATTTCAAAAAAAAATATCTATAATTCAAATCAAAGTTAAATCCATTAAAAAAACTTGTCAACCAAATCAGGTCGTGTAAGATAGTTGCATATCGAATTGAATTAATTTACAAAAGTAATCGCCAAGGATTAATTGTTTTTTCGATCGGTATTGGTAACACAAAGATTTAAAAGCACCTTAGACAATTATCGTAATAACGAATCGCACGTAATCGAGACGTGTATATGCATTTCCAAAGAGACAGCAACGAGTATCGATTAATAGGCGAAAAGCACACGAGAGGCATTAGCGCGAAGTAACGTCGAGGCCGAGTACCGGTTGTAACGGTACGTTACTGTATTGTGCATTATCTATAAATTGCGTTTCTCACTGTGTGCATATGCATAGACACTGCGTTTTTCTTCAGCCTTGAGAACACCGCGAGCCCGTTATGCACACGAGCGCTTATCTGCAACTCAATCGCTATTACTGCCGGTATGAAAGTGCGAGCCCATAGTGAAAAGTATGACACGCTAATGACATAAGACCCTCGACCGGGCGGGGAGGGAGTTAGTCAGGAAATTAATGCACCGTAATTAATTCCGTACTACGAAACCCAGGAATGTATTGTTTTGAAACGCTAACGGTACGTTGAGTAGTTCCGTCTTTCTTGATATCGCCGTTCAGAAGGTACATACTTCGTTTTGAAATTTTTTTTCTTTGAATGCGAATAAGAAAACTCGACATTTTTACTCACTACATTCTAATTTATTAATTTTTATTTCAAGTATTTTAGCACTTTATCGTAGAGACAATTTTTTGATAAATCATTATGCACTACTGTTCCACTTTTTCTCTCTTTATTTTGACTATATTAGCTGAGGAATTATAAAAATGATTAATGAATAAGAGGTACGCTAAGGTAGAAAATAATCAAGTATTAAAAGAATCAAAAGAAGGTCATTAAATGCGTATAATTCATTTATTGGAAAATATGGGGAGAAACAGCGCTCGATATTTTGAGTTCTGTTAAATTATTTTAATATTTGAGAAATTAGATCTGAAATTCAATTTTCATGAGATGGAGTCTGGTTGAGATAAATTGAAGACTTAAATTTCATCGTCCATTTAAAGCTTCATTTTGTGGAAACTATTTTTAACAGCAGCTCCACATAATTGTTCGCTATTGAAACGATTATTCCTAATACAATTTTTAATATCCATTAAAAGAGTATTTCCATATTTCTAATGCATCTTGTAGAAATGCGTTGGTTTGTTACGCGCTCGATAAGACGCCGCCGAGCGTGAGCAAACGTCGCGGAGAAAGTCAGCGTCGAGTACGACTTAAATAATAACGCAGGATTTTTAAATAAATGCGCCGCTTGCATTACGTCAGGGGTGCAGTCGCGCGAGGTGCGCGTACGTAATGCATCTGCGAGAAGCGTGGGAGCTGCGGGCCGCGCCGAGTATACGAGTATACGAGAGGCGGCTTCCTCTCACGGCGCGCGGCACAGCCACGCTTTATCTCGCCGTTTATAAATAAGGCGACCTCTCTCTTCTCTCGGTGATGGAGGAGGGGGTAGGAGGAGGTGCGCGCTGCTCAGTTCCGGCTTCCAGTCGCCCGAGTCTCTATTAATACTCGATCCCCTTAGTCTGCCCTCCCTCCTCCTCCTCCTTCTCTCTTTCACCTCGTTCGCCGATCCGTTACTCAATCCTTCTGTCTTCCCGCCACTTCGCGCGCGCTCTTTCTCCATCGGCGATTCCCGAGGAAGTCATACGCTCAACAGGCTTGTCTAATCGAGATTCTGTTTTCGGTCTTGTTCGCTAAACGAAGGGATCTGGATATCGTCTCCCTCCTTGTACTATCGGTCTCTGTAAATTTAGTTGTTACGTTAGAGCTGTGACTCACAAAGTCTATAGAGAAAATATCGCTGTGGTGATTTGCATTACTAGAAATGTTAATTTTCGAATTTTTGATTTATATTTTTATAAAAGAATATTAGACGTGGTTTTTGATTTCATCAATTTCTTACGCGTTTAATAAATATATTTTATTTTGAGTACTGTTTTATTTATATTTATCATTGCTAGCGTCTTATATAGAATTAAAGAAAAAAGACTCTCAGCAGCCCTTCTTCCGATACCGAGAAGTTTTGCGGTGCCCGATGCCGGTTTAGGGAAGCGCATAATCGCGGGCTTCTGGTCCAACGCACGCATGTACGTACGTGGTCCCGCAGTATAGATAACACTGTTGTTCGACACCGTTGTAACCGACAGGCATTTGCGTGCGGCGGGAATGTCTACGGTCACGTCTAATCACGGTTAATCGGTATTCTAATCACGCGGCCGCAACCAAATCGAGATAATCGATCGCGGTCAACGTAGCGATCCCGCGCTCGAGTACACGAAGCGAGCACTCGAACAAAGCATCGTAATGTAATTAAGTGATTACGATTAGCTACGGGCGTCGAATAATTTTCTCCTCCTGTGATTCATGATATAAACACTTGATAGTTGTGCCATGTGCATGACATCCGGAAATGATTGCAAATTGACGAAGCATAAAGATTTAAAAAGTGACGTATAGTCACTTTTTAAATATGAAAATCATTTTTTAACTTCTTTGTTGTATTCATTAATCCTTCTACTTTCACCAAATTGTCAAAATGACCATATAAGCATATGTTTTATACTTTTATTGTCTATTAAGATTATGTTATATGTATAAACATTTTTTGTTATTACTCAAAATATTAATTTTGATATATATTATTCATCTTTTATGATTCTGTCAATCAAATTTCTTACTTTCTGAACTAGTTTATATTTCCAGTATATTTTGCATATTGAAACAAAAATTTCTCTCTGTTAAATTAGAGAGAATATGTATTTGTGTTGTCATTGTAAACAATATTCAACACATATTATGAGCACTTGAAAATGCTGCTGGAGAAATTTTGTTTGCGGTAAGCCAATAAAAATACGCACGGGTGATCAATCTACAGTCACATGTATGTCACATATACTATAGCTTTAAATTAGATAATATCACTGATGCCACTTGTCTCTAATCTTGAGCACTAGAGATCCCGTTACTTCTCACCGTTTTACTCTAACAATATTGAAGCAAGTATGTTACAATAATATGATGATGATAGCAAATGCTACACATGATATCCCAAATATTGATATAAATTTAAAACTAAACGGTATCGTAATATAACAACATTATTTTAATTCCAGAGCAATGTATAGCAATGTATATTTTTCCGGTTAGCGGGAAATTTTCGTTTATTCCAAAATGATACCAATTAACGGCGATAACGATAGGGTATGAAAAATGTAATTATTATCGCGCCGCAAAGAGAATAAATCGCACGTGGCGCCGGTAGTCGCGACCGATAAATCACGGTTGATTTATGGATTAGCAGGATGTCATTAAACTAGCCCCCCTCAAATTAGCCTCTCCTCTGTTAAGAATGTAAGCTAACCTCGACAAGGAACGAGAGAAAAAAAATGCGAGACGTTCGTGTAAATTTTAATATTATTATTGTAATATTATCTCTGTCGTTAATTTTCTTAATAAATTCATTAGTATAATGAGAAATAGAAGATTTTATAATATAGATACGAGGAAATAGCTGTAAGAAGAGATGCGTTAACACGTTTGTTAGCATTAAAATAGTTAGCAATGTAACGAGTATTCGCTTATATCTAATTTAAAGAGAAAAGCTCGATAAACACTTTATTAGAATTATAACGAGTGTCGGTAAAAGCTAATTTTCTTGGAAAGGGTATCTAAAATGTTCTCTCGGGATAAAACAGTGCCGCGGACACGCACAAATGTTTATGATAATTGCAAATTACGGGAGAATACAGGTATCAAGATAAAGAGCCGGCGCAAAGTGTCAACGACAATATCTCGCTGCTGCGTTAAACACGTGCTGAATCGCGTTGTTTCAAGAGTGTCAGGGCTGCATCTAGTGACGATGCATTATTTCTGAAAGCATAAGATAACAGATATGTTAAAAACAGTACAAAAAAATTGTTTACATACAAATTTATTTGCTTACTATCGCAATTCGTAAAAGTAATGTAAACGGTGAGGTTTTTATATACCGCACGATTTTATTAATGTTTTAGTCTAGCAATTTTACATTCAGAGCAAGTATAAATTTATCACCTGTCGTCTGCTTGTGATAATTCCTATAAAGATTTAATATACCACGTTAAAATGACAGTTTTTTAAATTAAGTTGTAAAGAACAGATTATGAAAAAGCGAAGTAGATTAACTAAATATATGGAAAGATAACTTATGTACAAGGAGACTATTAATAATTTCTGCTAGTGTTAACACCAATATTTTTTCTTTGGAGGAAGTGTTATTAATCTTATAGAGCGCTGATTTTAACAGCGCCGATTACACGCTTAATATGGAATCGTAACACCCCCGCCCCTTTCTCCGAGCATAAAAATTAAATAATCCGCGGATATTTTACAGGGTTCTAGAAACACACAGGTCGTGCCTGTGAGAGGTATGCCGCGGTAACGGTGAAAGGCGAATAACACGAGTGCCTCCGAAGTCGCATAGTTTCCGTCTAATAACAGCGGCTGCCGTCGAGACTCGTTATTACAATGATCTTAACGCGGACCTTTACCCGCCTCGTCTATTATCATTTATTAGTCCACCGTGTATAAGACTTGCCAACGCTCGAGGAACGCAGTCTTCCGTCGCTTCTCTCGGCTTACGTAACGAGACTGATCGCGGACAGTCCGATAGCCCGATCACCGTTATTGCGGCTCATTAATAATACAAATCCGCCGCTCTAAAACCAGATCTATCCTACTACCGCTGCAGCATCCGCTTCATTGATCTCGCTGCGTGACACCGCGGGATTCCTATTTACGTGTCGTCGCGGAATAGCATCGTGAATTCTCGCTGTATCCGGCGATCGTTTCCTGCTGTCTCTTTCTCTCATATTTAACTGACTCCCCCATTTAGCGTTTCGTTTTATGATTATCGCGAGTTACGACATCCGTCCGACGCAGCGCGGCGTCTTAAAGATATCGCAAAAAACGTTATACGTTGTATAAAGAGATTTTGCTGCATAGATATTTGTAAAACATTCAATCTCCGGCGGTCAGCAGAAAAATTTCGAATTAATTATATAAACATAAGGATCAATCCTCCGATGCTGATACGTTCTATTGCAAGTTTTCAATTTTCTACACATGTCTACGATTCTACAGCACTAACAATAAGCTACAGCTGCCGCCAAGATTTGATATCCCAAATGGATACATTGTACTAACCGCGGTTACAATATGAGAGGATAGGATATTTGATTTATTTAAGATCAATACTTTTTTCTTGAAAATCTGCTTTTTTTGATATCACATTAAACTAGATTTTTCGGCGAAGATTGCAATCATTGGATGTAAATGATTTGAACTGTCATATTTTTATCGTATATATGTCATATATGTTCAATTTTTCAAAATTTATCTTAATAATCAGGACAGCGTGCATCTACGAATACGATGACAAAAAACCATGTTATTTTGAAATAGCACAGTTTAAAGTTTAGCAACTAAATATATGGAAGCTCTTACGTCACACTATAAGACAATATTAATAAATAAAGTTGCAACCTGGTTACAACTTTATTTAATAGATATAAGAAGCTTTGCATTCTTCTGAGAATCGTATATGTCAAGGACTCTTGACATATTAGAATTTTCAAATATTTATACTTGTCCTCTATTTTCTCTATTTAAATCAAGTTTTAGAAATAAAATCACACATACACCTTGACATTCAGATCGCAGTGATTGATACTGAGTTAAAGATCGAACGCAAATCGCATCGCTAGACGTTATTAATAGGTTTAATCGTGTCTCGTGGGAACCGAATCACTGCTGGAACTAATTGTCACGGGTGTGTTGCGACTCACGGTCGGTCAGGGTCGGTGAGCGCCGGAGTTTCGTCGCGGCCGGAAGTCTCCGCGGGCTTTTCGAGGATGCCGAGGAAACGGAGCGCCGCGTTACTACGAATAATGCTATCGTGTCATCGGCACGTCCGTTTCACTATATCGCTTGTGACTCTTGTGCGTCAGAGAGAGGCGGTTAGTGTGTCTGGAGATTACAATCGCTCAACCGCAGTTTGACGAAGCTTAAAGGCGTTTCCGGACAAGAGACTGATTTTATCGATTTTGTGATTGCGTAGTCCGTGACCCTGTGAGAGAAAAAAAAACTCTATAAATCCAACGTGTGTACTCGGCACTAAAATATTCATTGCTCAATTTTTTCTCCTCTACATTTTTGGAATTGTTTTAAAATTAAATATAAAACGCAGAATTTTCACAAAAGTTTTTATTTTTAGTAGTTGTTATGTATCGTGATATGCTAAATGTTGTATCCAAAATGCTTGTGTAAAATAAATACCTTTGGTTTAATGCTAGAATGCTTTATTACTGCTTGTTATATATCTTCGTTAACAGTACACGTGTCAACCTAAACAAAATTAACGCCATCTATCTAAGAACCTAAAAATACTTATTATTTAGTCCGCGGTTAATATGAATTTGCAACAATATAGTTTTAATAAGAAAAAATACATAATATCGCAGAGAATATGCTAACATAAAAAATAATCATTGCGTATTACTTAACATACCGTCGCCCTTAAAAAAACATCTTTCAACATATATTTTATTGTATTTTTGAAATGTTTAACGTTAGTATTGACTTATAAGAATATGTTAGATAATATCATAAGTTTGCATTGTAATTAAAATAATAATAGATGAGAAAAAAATAGAATATAGTGATAAACTTTTGATAGACATTACTTATTAATTTTGGAAAGGAAGAGCGCATATCTTTATCACTGCTCGTTTATATTTGCCCGACTGTGTGCGCAAAGTCACGACTTTTACAAGCCCGTCCTCCCCTGGATGTACTTCTTCAATCCTTCCTAACTTCCATAGCAAAGAGGGAAGATTATCCTCTATCAAAAGCACTAAGTCTCCGATTTTTACAGCGTGATCTCCTTCCTTCCACTTAGTTCTAGCTTGTAATTGTTGTAGATATTCCCGATGCCATCTCTGCCAAAAATCCTGTCTCAATTTTTGAATATGTTGCCATCTAGATGAATGACTTTCCTTAATTTCCAAATAGTCATTTTCTGCCGGTTTTTTTAATGATTCTCCAATTAAGAAATGAGCTGGTGTAAGCGGTACAAAATCGCTAGAATCGGATGACAATGCAGTTAACGGTCTGCTATTCAGAATACCTTCTATTTCAATTAATATAGTATAGTATTTCTCGAAAGTGTAGTGTAGATTTTTCACTATGATTTTTAAATGTCTTTTTACGCTCTTAACCACCGCTTCCCACAAGCCACCGAAATGGGGTGAACGAGGAGGTATGAAGTGCCAATGTATATTCTGTGCAGCGCATTCTGATGAAATGCTTTCTTCATTCTGTCGAAGAAGAGCGTAGACTTCCTTTAGTTCGTTGGCGGCTCCTACTAAATTAGTGCCGTTGTCAGAATAGACATGTGTAGGTATCCCTTTTCGAAAGCAGAATCTTTTGAAAGCTGCCATAAATGCTTCGGTTGATAAGTCACTGACAAGTTCTAAGTGTATTGCTTTAACCTTCAAGCATATGAATATTGCCACATAAGTCTTATTTACTGGAATATTGCCTCTTCTTTTGCTTTCGCGTATACTAAATGGTCCTGCATAATCAATTCCACAGTCAACAAATGGTCTATAAGCTTGTGTCACTCTAGAGGCTGGAAGATCTGCCATTTTTATGGTTGGAAGATTAGGTTTGTATCGGAAGCAGACTATACAGTTTCTTACCACCTTTCTTGCTACTCAGCATTCTGCAAGAGGCCAATATCGTTCTCTTATGTTAGCTAATAACTGTTGAGGTCCGCAGTGTAGTAATCTTGCATGTTCTTGTCTTAGCACTATTTCCGTCACGTGGTGTCTTGCTGATAGTAGTATAGGATGCTTCTGATTGCCTGATAGCTTGGAATGTCGTAATCTGCCTCCTACTCTAATGAGGCCTTCATTGTCTAAGAATGTATTGAGCGCAGCCAATGCACTATTTTGATGCACGGTCTTCTCTCTTTTTAAAGCATTGCAGTTCTACTGCAAAACTCTCCATCTGTAACATGCGGATGATGGTAAATTCTACTCGTTGAAGCTCTTCTACTGTTATGAATGCATTATTATGTGTTGAATTATAAACTGTCTGCGGGATTTTGTGTGCTGAGGGCACATGATGCCACTTGGCTCTTGAAACCAAATTTTGGATTTCCGTAACCCTATTAGCATAGTATGTTTCTGGTTTGTGTGGCGCTGTATCTATCCAGCATAATACAATAGTGGAATCGCTCCACAAATGTACGTCTTTTATAGGATGTTTTAGTGCCTTGATAATCGCTGCTACTAACCTTGTTAATAAGAGAGCTACACAAAGTTCTAACTTTGGCAATGATATAGTTTTTAAGGGTGTGACCCTTGCCTTGGAGCACACTAGATACGATTTCCTTAATCCTTGTTCTGTTTTGTATACACAATAGACACATGCTCCGTAAGCTCTTCCAGAGGCATCTCCGAACCCATGCAATGTGAAGGAACGATATCTATTATACGGATTGAAGTTTCGCGGTATCTCAATATGTCCAAGAATCTGAAGGAATTGGCAATATTTGTACCAAGTATTGCTGAATGTTTGTGGCACAATTTCGTCCCAATCTATATTCAATTTCCATAATTCTTGCATTGTGATTTTGGCCGTAATAATTACAGGTTCAATTAATCCTAATGGATCAAATATTTTTGCAATCTGTGACAAGATATTGCGCTTCATGACTTTGTAGTTTTCTGCTAACTTAACCGTATATTGTAAGGTATCCTTAGTAGAACTCCATAATAAACCTAACGTCTTCATCGGTTCTTCTGCATCTAGTACTAATAAGGGATCTTCTTCCTTGTCGTAAGTGAGATCTTGTAGAATTCTTGGATCATTAGTTCTCCATTTTCTAAAAGGAAATTTGGCTGCTTTAAGTAGTTCTAAGAGCTCTCTTCTTAAGTCGATCGTTTGCTGTATAGTATTTCCGTCTGTTAAGACGTCGTCCATGTAAAAATCATGCAATAGTGTCTCTGCTGCTGCCTTTCGTGCAACCGCTTCTGGTTGTGTAGCAAGATGTCTTAGGCAACGTATCGCCAAATAAGGAGCACAAGTAGTGCCGTAGGTCACGGTGTTCAGAGTATAATCCTGTATCTTATCCGAAGACTTGTGACTAGAGACCCTAAAAAGAGAGACTCGCCAACTCGTCACGTGACTGTTAGTGGACTCTGATTGGCTGGTGTATGGATCGCACATTTGTGCCCCGTGTGCACCATAAAGCTACACTGAACTACACTATGAATACCGGCCATAGTGTAGTTCAGTGTAGCTTTATGGTGCACACGGGGCACAAATGTGCGATCCATACACCAGCCAATCAGAGTCCACTAACAGTCACGTGACGAGTTGGCGAGTCTCTCTTTTTAGGGTCTCTACTTGTGACGCCATATGATTCGCTGATAGTTTCTATCCTCTTCTGCTAGCCAAATTTGTCTGGACATCATCTTGATATCCGCTGTAATTACATATTGATGTCCTCTAAATCTGATCATGATATCCCATAGTTCCCTTTGTAATTTAGGTCCGTTCAACAACCTTTGATGTAGTGATGCTCCGGTAGTTGTTTTAGCTGAGCCGTCAAAAACAACTCTTATAGTTTTGTCGTTAAACTTGTGGTTTTCATCACCGGATGATGTGGTAGGTAATAATGTTCTCCTTCTAAGTTACAATCTGGATGCTTGATTAATGACATATGTTCCAACGCTTCGCATTCCTCCAGAAACTGGCAATATTCTTCTTTCAGCGCAGCTTCTTGGTTGAGCTTTCTTTCTAACGATAAAAATCTTCGCTAATTCCTTAGATTCTCCTAACTTAACTGTTTCATCTCGAGGTAGACGTACAATGTATCTTCCTTTTTCATTTCTCTTTACAGTGCGTATAAAGAAATCTTCGACTTGCTGTTCCTTAGGCGTGTAAAACTACGTGTAAATTACGTCTCCGTAATTTTCGGTGATTCCTCTATATTCCAGAATTTTACTAATTGTTTGCTTAATTTTGTCGTTGTGATATTGCAGGCTTGGGTATTGTTTGTAGCTTTGGAATTAATAAGCTCTCCACCTACGATCCAACCTAGACGGGTTTCCTGTAATCTAGGCAGCGTTTCACTTAGCTCTTTCTGTCGTGAACACATTAGTTTCCAAAAGATGCTACTTTCTATGAAAAGATCTACAGGGTGATTTAAAATAACCTGATGTCCTTGCAATGCCATATTCTTGAGTGAATTCTGAGACGATTTTTCTTTTTACAAAATTTTGTCCGAAGCTTAGTTTTCGAGTTATAATTGAAAATAATTTGCTACTTACGAGTCCGATACAACGGACAGGCAGGGACGGTGCAATGCGTCATGAGACGATAGTAAACACTTGACAGTCTCATTATACGTTGCGCGTCCCTGCCTGCCCGTTGTACCGAACTTGTAAGTTGCTACCTATTTTCAATTATAACTCGAAAACTAAGCTTCGGACAAAATTTTGTAAAAGAAAAAATCGTCTCAGAATTCACTCAAGAATATGGCATTGCAAGGACATCGGGTTATTTTGAATTATCCTGTATATCCGCTGGTATATAAAAGTCTGGATCTGCTAATTCCAATTCCCTGGGAATGTTCCAAATGTGTGTATTGACCTTGTGGATATCTCTCCGTTATGATAGGCATAACTAAGCAATCAAATTCCGTTGAAAAATCATTATGCATGACTTGAGATACACAATAACTGATTCCTTTGCAGTTACTTGTGTTTGACTAATCCCACTTATAGGTACTGTAACCTTATTGCTTTTTAGATTAAGTTTTCTCGTCAAATCCTTTGTTATAATGTTACTTTGTGACCCAGGGTCTAGCATAGCTCGGCATTTTCTTAATTGATCTTCACTATCCTTAACATATACCTCGACAGTTGCTATAAAAACAATAGACTCTGTCTTAATGCTACATGATTGCCCTTGTTTACTACAGCTAACTCAAAAAGTTCCTTAATGTGAGTATTGATTATTAACTTCGTGTTTTCAAATCTTTCCTTGATTAGTCGCCAAGCTGTTGCGTAGTTGTCTTTAGTCGTCTTTAGGGTATGTATAACTTGTAGCGCTTCACCTGACAATAAACTGCGTAAATATTGAAATTTTTGAATGTCTGACAGTTTTGTATTGGAATCTATGACTGAAATAAAAGTGTCTTTAAACATGAACCATTGATCATAGTTACCATTAAACCTTGGTAGTTGTAGAGTAGGTAATTTAACAAAAAGATGGTTTATCTGTTGTTCCGGCGGATACATTACTTGATTTGCAATGTTTACCTGTGTAGGTTCTAATAGTCTCCTGGCTATTGCTAGATATCTGAAATAGGTATCCTCTACCGACTGTTGCTCTCTCATATTCTCTGATTCTAATGTTTGTTTCTCTTCTTGTGTTGGTGGTGGATCTTTCGCCAGCATAGCTTCTATTTTTCTTTCCGCGATCTGTGACTGAATCTCATTATAAATGTTATATAAACATATATAAACTTCAGCTCGTTTTATTCTATCTGGTAATTGATCTTTACGGTCTTGCCCGTAATCTCTGACAAAATTTACAAATTGTGTAATTTGTCCTTTGACGTTAGTCCTTTTTACTCGTAATTTTTGTAAACTTTCCATTTTATAGGATGTATGATGCAATACTTACGTAGACTTAACCTCTTTACGCGACTGTTATTTCCTGTTTCTATTTTTCTGTTTTTCTGTACTATTTCCGGCTGATTCGGTTTCGAAGGACCAATGTTATGTATCATGATATGCTAAATGTTGTATCCAAAATGCTTGTGTAAAATAAATACCTTTGGTTTAATGCTAGAATGCTAGAATGCTAGAATGCTTTATTACTGCTTGTTATATATCTTCGTTAACACGTGTCAACTTTAAACAAAACTAACGCCATCTATCTAAGAGCCTAAAAATACTTATTATTTAGTCCGCGATTAATATAAATTTGCGACAATATAGTTTTAATAAGAAAAAATACATATTATCGCAGAGAATATGCTAACAATAAAAAATAATCATTGCGTATTACTTAACAGTAGTAGTATCTGAAAATTGTCTAAAAATCATTATATTGCATTGATGAACAAAATTATTGCTTGATGAAAAAAAAGAATTAAAAAATTTCGCCACACCAAAATGTCAGTTATTCGCACTAGCATGCACAAAAATTCTATTTTTGCATTCTTTTGACCAGGCTTGTGTCGTAACGCTCCAGAATGGCGAGGATTTTTTTATAGCTGCTGCCATTTGTTACGACGGATAATTTGCCTGTTAAGAACAGTCTTGAATTAACTCGTGTTCCTGCTTATGACGAGCACGGCGAGCTCGCGCGAAACTATTTTCGCTACGCCTCGGGTACGCGCGCGCAGGAAGTAGCAACGATTTCTACAAGATGACGTAATTCCGCGCAATGAGTCCGACAATGAACGGCGACGAAGTCGACGCGAAGATTACGAAGAAGACGATGCAGCGGAGAAGGAAGTGACGCGACGCAGAATCACGCGGACTTACCGGAAATAATCCTATCGGAAAATAACGCGTCATTCACGCTGGCGTGCATAAGCGCGCGACTCGTGCGTGTACTTCGCGTGACGCTTTCTTTCCTCTCTTTCTTTCTATGCAGTAATAACAGCAGCGACAGTTTTTTTTTACGTGACGAACATTTTAATGTGCTATTGCTTTTATTTAGATAATAATATTGTAAGTGACCGCCAGTGGCGTGACGGTAATAAACGACTGTTTAGTTGGCTGTCATAAACTTGATATAAACTATATTTAAATTTTCGTACTTTTTTAAATAAGCTAAAAAAGTATGGTATTTTGTTCCGCATTCTACAATCGCGGTTAATTAAACATGTATAAACTCCAATTATATAAGTTATAATTTGACACTTCTATCAAAACATATTAATTACATTTTTAAGTAAAAGACACAAAAATAGATAACGCGCACGGATTAATCTTGCAATGTGAAAACAAAATTTGTAAAAGATGAAGGTAATAAAAATATAGGGAATTTAGTTAGCGACGTAGAAAGCACAAAATGTTTAATAATGTTGATCAAATTTGTTAGGACGAGGGCAGACAAGATACACTCTTGAGATATCACTCACTATCTTTAATATATATTTGAGTTACAATAAACGTGCACACGTGAGCTAACGAACGAACGTACAAGAACAAGAAGAAGTAGAGGGCCGAAAAGCCCAAAGCATCGCTCTCTCTAATAATGGAAGCGCGTGAATTGGATAGATGTATATATCTAACAAAATTTGCTATCAATTTATTAATATTGCATTTTTCTCTTACTGGATAATTACATTCGTTATCATGGGGTTTGTTCTTTTTAGCTGCACTGGGACTGCACTAAAACAAGATAATAGATAACAGATTGAGAACAGATCTAGACTGTTTTTGATCCAGTGCAGGTAAAAAGAACAAACCCATTATCATTATCTTCGATGTTATTGCCGCAACTATTATTAAACATCGAGTCATCGACGCTGGTTACTCAACCGGTGAGCGTGTGACTCTGACCGACCTCCCTCTTTTTTCCTTCTTTCCGTGGATGGAATTTGAATGAAGAGCTCGATTAAGTGGCGTCCAAAGTATTCCGGGAAGAAATTCCTGCGCACGGACGGAAGTCAGAATATCTTCGTTTGCGCGCATCATCACGTTTACCAGGTACACGAGGCAACGTTTACCGAGAAACAAAAAACGTTCGCGTTTTGTAAAGAATGATAATTAAAACGTTGCTACTTTTCGCTGGCAGGTGCGCTTTAATTATCAAATAAACACAAATCAAGTGCAACGCAAGAAAGAACATCTTGTTTGAAAGTTACGAAGCAAAAACACAATTTACACCTTTAATTCTTATTACAAAGTAATGACTTTACAAAGTAATGAAATTACAACAACTAGTACATAAATATTGAAAAATTCTTTGAACACTATATTATTCGGCGTTAAAAATTAAGTAATTTTTATACTACACTACTAAACTACTTAATATATGTCGCACTAATATTAATTATATTATTGGCATTAATTTTATGTCAGCAAGGTAATAACATTTCAAGTTTATATGTTAATATTTTAGACATAAATCTAAATCTATAATTATATAGATTAAGTAATAAGTTTTGCATTAAGTCCGCATATTTTTTTATCACACGTAACGTTCTTTCTATTTCCGTGTCTCTCGAAATACG